ACTGGTTTTACACACAACTCGGAGGTTAGCTGACACCTTAGAAACGGCGCAGCTCAACACGTTTGAACAGGCACTTCACATGGTCACCTGAACATGTCATGTGAATGCTGACTTAGGGGAAGTGATCCACATTTCTATGCGATTTTGAACCGAATTAGAAATCCTGGTGATCTTTCGGTGATGTTCACAAAACTGCCCTTTTAAGACCTAAATCCTTCTAGTTTCTGATTCATACGACCGAAAATTAGGAAGGGTATTTTGGGGAGAGCATTTCTAAGTCACCTTGGCATTCATGACGTCATAATAATGTCATTCAAATCCTGCCATTCAATAAGTCATGCAACAATCAAGGCCAAAAGAAATAAAATTATCGAGGCGTTTATATCTGGTGTCCGTGAGCGCGATTTCCAGATAAAATGGCCGCCAATTGGCTCCCAATCAATGCTGTGCAATGTGCGATGACGTGTTCAAACTGTGACGCATTGAGGAGCTTATTTACTAATCAGAGAATTGTGCTGTCTAGACCAGTCATTTTCACTTAAAAAAGTATACCAATAGTTATGCATGAGCTTGTTTCATCGTACCTGATGCTTGCTTCAAGATCATCTAATGTGAAACATTTCCTTTGATCGCTTGAGCTTCATCAACGTAACGGCTGTAATTGACAGCGCTCAACGCAAACTAGTTACCCCTTTGCGACTGTTGCGAATTGCCAGAACGGTTCGCGAGTTTTCGCACTGAAGTTTTCTGGCTTATTGCGTGGCCGGAGTCTACACATGCATATTGGATACGGGAGGTGGTATAAGAACAGTAATAACGTCACAGGCTTACACAAAGCTTCATCACCTGCAGTTCGTAAGGACGGAACGCTCAACTTGTGCGGTGAAAACTAATGGTTTCGTCCAAGCTTTGTAATGGAAAACAACCTCTGTAACGACCGACGACATAAAGCCCGGCTGTAAGAGACCGGTGTTGGATACAGCACGCCCGACAGGGGCGTGTTTTGTCCCTCAGCTGAGGGAGACTTCTAGTATGCGCAACAGAAATACGTTGTGCGGAGGCAAAGCTGTCGAAAACGCACCACAAAGCTCCAGCGCTGATAAATATAGCACCCCCACACGAAATACACTCGCAGCTGACGCCAGCATAGAACGATTCTAAAAGTGATCAGTGCACGTCATGCATCATTGAGATGCGAATCAATGACACGTGGTTCGAGGCGGTGCCGTACCGACAACGGCGCAGGACTTCCGCGCAGCGAGACAAGCGGACAGTCCCCGGGCAATGTTTGCCAGTCATTCAGGAGTGTTTACAACTGTTAACCCGGATCCGCTTCATGCTGTTCGACGCAAGTCAACGTTGCGTCGTGCGTGGCGGTGCTACGGGCACCAGCAGCGTTGCGTCCTCGCGCAGCGAAGCACGCAAAAATCGCCTGAAATATACCGCGTACATTTGTCTGCGTTTGCACATTCTTCACACAGATGCACAGATGAGCATCTGAGCAGATTGCCATGAAATTTTCAGCTATGACTGGCTTAAACTTCACAACGATCCGCCACTTTGCAATTCATTCAAGGCCAGGAACATCTATTGAATGTTCCTGACCTTGAACAACATCTAACGAACATCTAATAGGGGCACAGAACAGTGTCGCACGGGCAACGTGTAGAAAAGATCGAGGACTTTTGCACAGCTTGCAAACATTAACAACAAGTTACTTTATATTATTGAAACACGATTCTATGCTACGTCACGGGTGGCGGCGTTGCCGCGTCAACGGTATGCTACTTTCGCGCAGCGAAGCGGGCGGGAACCATTTGTCTAAACAAATACATTTAGAGTGTACGTCTTTATATCTGTGTGCTCGCAATGATTTAGCTCATGCACAGCGTAAACGACGGAACAGACTGCCTTGAGCATTGTGCACGCCACAGGTCCAACGCTCGTGACGAACCCCGTCCTATACTGGCGCCAGTCCGATCCTGCTGTCGGTCACATCGCACGCGAGGAGAGCCATTTGTTGACATCTTAAAGGCGGACACCCTTCGCGTGTGTGCCGGGATAAGCAGGTTGCGCAACGATAGACTGCCGTTCAAAACACGGCGCAAAAAAAGAACAACATCAAAAGCTCCGCGCGCCAATTAGGACGACCAGTTTAACCCTATCGACGCTGGAGGATTTTTGGGACTTCGTCCTACCGACGGTCGCCACGTGATCTCTAAATTCGTATCCCCCCCCCCGCCCCACCTACAAATCGACTGTTCTTTACGGCATCATAATACTGGGCACCCGACACACGGAAATACCGAGTCTCCCACCGCACAGGCCATCTCAGTGTAATGCGCTCCACCCCCTCCGCTCCCAGCCTCCTCGGGCGCCATCGGTGTTACGCTTGGCTTGTCTGTTCTTGCGCTTAGACACTGATGCCTTCAACCTTACGTGCAATAGACAACAGGGATTGTGTCCGGAACAATATTGGCCAACTCCGGTCCCACGACGATGCCTGGTAATCTTATCGTGCTTATATGGTTACGTTTATGGCAACATCTCTTGCTCGCGTGGCCGCGTTTATGGCAACAGTTTAACCTCTAAAAGCAACGATACAATTCCCCCTGGAGCTTAACATTGTCTACACAACAGGGTAGAGTTGATCCGTTTACCGACCAGCAGACCCCTCTCTCCGCTCTCTCTCTCTCTCTCTCTCTCTCTCTCTCTCTCTCTCTCTCTCTCTCTCTCTCTCTCTCTCTCTCTCTCTCTCTCTCTCTCTCTCTCTCTCTCTCTCTCTCTCTCTCTCTCTCTCTCTCTCTCTCTCTCTCTCTCTCTCTCTCTCTCTCTCTCTCTCCGCTCTCGACCTCGCTCTCTGCTTTTTCATTTTTCGACAGTAAGCAGATGTCTCCTTTTTTCCAGGGAAGCGCATCAGAAGACGGAATGATTCAATGTCACATCTGGGTGCTAAATTCTTACCTTAGTGTACAAACAGGAGTATGTGGGATAGATGAGTTGTGAATCATTGTGCTGACATTAGTCGACCTTCGATATGTCAGGAAGAACTGACTTACCAATGATATCACTCAAGCATTGATAATACAAAATCAGGAACGTATTCACTAAAAAGAGAAACCGTGTTGGCTAGAGCAGTCCTTGCAGCTTAATTGTACACCAGTAGTTATAAGTGAGCTTTTTTATTACATCTGATGCTTGCTTCAACTTCTTCAATTGTGCAACGTTTCCTGTAACTTAGGTAACACGCGCATCACGCGGTGAGTTCAGGAGCACACTATGACACCGAAAAATGGTCACCTCTTTCCCCTACTTTTTCCAACAACAAAAGAAGACATCAACTTGCTAACCATTAAGCGATAATGCATTGGGTTGGATCGGTTATATCTATGTTAATGTCCCTATCACCCGAGACTATCAAAAAGTTGAACAATGAACCTCATTCACGAGCCATGAAGCACCTTCATGAAGAGCCCTTCCTCTCTGTTAAAACTTTGGCATGGAGCCTCATCACCATTGAAATGTTTAGCACGAGCAATTAGTTCGTAACGCATCATGCGTAATTAAACATGTTGCACGGTTTGGCTAATTACTCCAGATATTTTAAATGCATAAAAAGTGAAAGGCTAGAATGAGCGATGGAAAGGGATGCACCGATAAACGTCACATCTTGCTCTGTACGGCGATTTCTTACAAAAATCTTTCAGCAAAAGTTGGGCATTTTTGTGCAGGATGCAAAATGTCTAAAAAGCCCCTGAAGGTGTCTCCGGAATAACGTCACGGTGGTTTTGAGGGTTGTGGTGAAATCTCAGCTAGTTAAGTTTACATCATTTTTAGAAATATAAAAACTTAAAACGTTTAACCGGGGTGGTTCATGCTCTATGATTTCTTTGCCAATGACGTGTTGGTTACAGCTTGCTGGAAGTTGATAAATAATTTTTTTATCGTAAGAAAAGTTTTTCAGAGCTAGTTTTCTTAACTTAGCACTTTTAAACGCACTATTGTCGTTCTGGCGACTTTCGCAGTCAGGTCATCCATGGTCAAACTTTGTCAATTTTTTGTTACGAGATCTTTACCTTTTAAAGATCATGAGCTGCACTTCTTTTCACAAATATCTCCCAACTTTGGGAGAATTTTGAAAACGCTGTTTTCTCGATTGCCATGACTTGTTTAGTTCCTGATGAAGTCAAACGAGGCAATGCACAAACAACATTCATCCCTTTGACCTGATGTTAAATATCATAGGTGTCTCCTATTGATATCCATTGACGCACATCTGGTGGAGGTTTTCAGGAGCTGTTCAAAATGGTTTTTGATATTTCCGTAGCATAATTACGTTTTGAGATAACATGAGCTGCATGTAAAGCGTTTGTTTGATCCTCTGACCTGGTTTGATGTGTCTAATACCGCGTATAATTTTTTTTATTCACACCTATCGGAAATATTTGTCAAGTCTTGTCCAACACCGTTTTTCCTCTGCATCTGGCTTGCTTGCTTTTTGATGTAGTAGGGAGGCTTCTGACCCTCTTCCTTTTCCCTCCTTCCTTCTCAAAGTACAAATGTGAAGAACACGATCGGAAGGCGAGGGTTAAAAGTCACACGACTGAGTCCGCAAAAGTATCAACAAATGCCCTCTGTGTAGAAGATGTCTTTATTAGTTCTAATTTCGAAAGAAGGAATGCTTTTGACCCTGTAAATATAAAGTTGCATTAAACAGCTCGAGGTGTCTGTCACGTTCAAGCCGGTGTCATAACTTATTTCGCATCTTGCGTGATTTTACTTGCATGACACAAGCCTTCTCAAAATTTTGTTCACGGCGATGAAGCTCATGCGATACAAATTACCCCCATATCCACTCATATACAATGAACAATAAATTGAGAAATCATTTCGGCAGGCAACAATCCACCAGCAGTGAGCACAACGGCGTTCCCACATCGCACCTTGACCAGTGTGTTCAGGAGTACTCCAGTCGGACTCCGGCTGTCCGCGGCGCTCACCTTGCGGAGGAGGCGGGGTGACCCTCTCAGCGGCGTGGCCTGCCGTCGACTGCCGGCGGCGGCGCTCAGGTCGCGCTGCGGCCGGCTGCTGGTCGCGGTGCGGCGTGCCGGTGGCCCTCATGCTGGGGGCGACGGCGCAGGCTGCGCACCGCCCTCCGGTGCTAGGCGCGCGTGGGCGCCTTCGTGAACGTCATGCGGTATTCTGAGCGAGGCAGGCGCGCTTCATGCGGTATTCTGAGCGGGGCAGGCACCCTTCATGCGGTATTCTGAGCGAGGCAGGCACCCACACCCCGGACGCGTAAAAAAAGCTCCGATGCGCCCTATGGGGCGGTCGAATGAGTGCTTGGCGTTGATGTTGTGCATAAGTTTTTATCGCGCAGGCGCCCGGTGCCTGATTTTTATGATTTATTGTACGACCACTTTTTATGGATGGTTGATTCCGCCTTAAGGGTGCAGTCCTATGCAACGCGCTCCTAAGACCGATTCACGAAGGACAACTTCATTTCGGGGGTGACAAGCAGCGCCAAATTCGAGGTCAGTGGTAGAACCTGACGTCGAAATCTTGGCGTTCTCCGATGCTCGACATTGTCCGTCACGTCGTCTGACTTCATCTGATCTTTGGTGCCGCCGCTGACACCGGCCGCAGGTTATCACAGTTGGGGCAATAACGATCCCGTATAGCGACCCCTCCACACAGTTGGGGCAACAACGATCGCGTATAGCGACCCCTCCACACAGTTGGGGCAACAACGATCGCGTGTAGCGACCCCTCCACCGCCCACCCGCCGTGGTTGGCTGAATCAAAGGCAGGCGCTGTAGCCAGCGCACCTATCGGGGCGAACGACGTCTCAGATACCCATGATTTCTGAGCTCACCTGGTGTGAAACCATGTATTCCTTTACTGATGACAAGTACCTTAACAAACATGCAGGTGCAGCTTGTGTGGATGACTGTACGGTTTATCCCACTTGAAAGCGAATGTTCCACACTTGTATGGGGTTTTGAGCTGATGCAGCCACTTGAAAGATCATTCGGTGCAGTTTACAGCCTTTAAGGTGCAACGTTCTCTTACCTTTTCGACTTTTAACAGCTTTCTTTTCACCCCCTTTAAATGTGTTTTTTAAAGTGCAGCTCATGGTCCAGCTCTTCTTAAGACCACAACCTCTCTAGTTTCTGAACTACACGTCTGCGAAGACGCGCAAACTATTTCGGGGAGACTATCTTAAGGTCATCCAGGCACCCTTAGCACCATAATCAATTCATTAAAATCCTCGTGTTGCATTGGTGTTGCGGCTCGTCACCGCAATGCTGGTAGCTTTGTGTATATATATATATATATATATATATATATATATATATATATATATATATATAGTGTAGCATATAGTGTAGTGTCCCTTTGCCCAAGGCTAAGGTCGGGGTCGTCAACCGGCGTGCCGGTGGAAAGTCAGGACATGGATATGGGTATGGATATGCTGGCCTGTCACGGCGCTACCAAACTCTCTCATCCATCGACCCGACTCGTCATACACATCTGCAGCAAGTTGTCACAAGCAGGTGCAATTACTTCAAAAGAAGACAATTCCACGGCCCAGACTACCGCGGCGAAATCCAAGTGCTCTACGACTCATAAACGCAAATACACTTAGTCGCCAGTCACACCAAAGATGCCGCCAGCTCAGCACCGCCAGCTTTTGGTATAGTATTCCATGTTTAGTCTTTATCCTAATTCTGGCACTCTGAAAGTACATTTCAATACCTACTAGGCAGAGCTTTAAAGTACCCAGTGCTCTGTTTCCCTGGTCTGGGCAACTAGCCCGAGTTCATTCACGTCCCACTCAAATTCTGCAAAGGTATTTGGGTAAAAGGCGCACTAAACGCCCATCCGGGAACCGGCTGAGCTCTAGAGCAAAGGAGATCGCGGCCTGCCATACAACAGCATAACGCGCTGAGTCTCCGGGTCAACGTGTCCGTCTCATTATACAAACGGCCCCGGCACTGTACCTGCCCAAGTCTTGATCACTTCGCCTTGGGCAGTTCATTCTTCCGCAATGGATTCCGTTTCGCATGAGCCCGCTGCAGCAGAGTAATGGCTTTCACACATTGCGTCGTGGTCTGGATCGCATTTGTCACAGCTTGGTTTGACTACATTATCTTCGGGCACATATGACCCGTTTGCATGATGAAGTGCAGGGAAAAGATTCTAGGAAAAGTGGAGCAGACCACCTGGAGAGGTTCTGCTCGAATTAACAACTGACAATCTAATATCGTATTACAAAAGGTAACTGCTCTTCTTCCGATGCCAGAATTAAACAGAGGTAGAAAAATGAGACATTGCTACACAGCAAGCAGGCACTAAACTGAGACAAGCTGTTGGCGTGTGATGACCTATTGACCTAAAATGGTCAGTTCAATTCCGCCGTCCGATTCAATTCTATCGTCAATTCAATTCTACCGTGAAAGTGCCGGCCGCCGCGCCGGCGGGAACCCCCGATCGCTGATAGGCGCGTTCAGTTCTAACACCGTCGAATCAAATGGGCACAAACCAGCCATTTCCATTTCCAGGGCACATGGTACGAACAGGACAGACAAGAGTTAAACATGGTTCAGTAACTTTTCAAAACTTGAGTAAAGAAAACACATGGGTACAGAAACATGTACATATAAAACAATGAAACTTAAGTCTTGATCCAAGAGTACGCCGAGCACGCCCGCACGCTGACAAACCTAAAGAACGACTTAAGTACCTCACGTATGATGGTTTGAAGATGCTGTTTGCATGCCAGAAAGTGACGCTGATGGGAAGCAACCTAACAGAAAGAAGTTCCACAAAACAGGTATATTTATATGAAGCTAAGGCAAACTGCCAGGCTTTCATATGTCATTGCTGAGGCTACGGACGTGAGCTTTAAAAACATGCAAGAAGTGTAAGCTATATATATATATATATATATATATATATATATGTATATATATATATATATAGCTACTTATAATTAATACTCAGAACATAGCCGGACGAAATCCGAGACGTTTTTCGCATCTGTCTCATTATGGCGACTTCCATAATTTTGCCTGCTCCCCCATTGTGAGAAATCGACAACCATGCACACGGGTTTGCGTTTACAGCAGAGGTTGGTGCTGTTAGGTATGAATAATAGCTTTTGAGATTCCGGACACTAAAACAGCTTCACCATGGGTACCGCTGTGCCAAAAGAATATTAACATAGCAGAGGCCTCTCCAGAGTTCGGAAAGACAGGTTTTTTAGACGGTGTGAAATGCATTATTGATGGTCGATGCAGATACATAGGCGGGAGCTTGTGGTACCTAGATACAAACCTCCGCACTTCAGAAAATATTTGCACAAAAAATTGATGCATCCCGTGACAAATTTGTCGTTAGGCTTTGTAAAACGTGGTGCAAATTGACATAACCTTAAACCTATCACAGCATATAGGCGCTATAGATGAAAAACGTTTCGTATATCTAAAGCTTACCCGTCAACCAGATCGACCTGAAAATGTATTTGTATCTAATCATGCTAAAATTTGAATCCCTCCCTGTCTTCCCTATATGACAATTTTATTCGTAGACAATAGCGTTGTACTAGGTTATTATGCGCGTCGCATTACTTCTTCATAAAAGCAAAAATCAAGTGACCCAAACGCATGGAGAATCGATAATTGGGATCTTCATAATTGGGTAAGGTGTTCGACCAGGAATAAGCCACCAAATGATTTTGCGACCCTCCACCACCGTGTTTGAAACATTACTGACAACTTTCCCCAATCTGCATTCGTCTACATTGTGATTACGCTATTAGACCGGCTATTAATTGTTCTGCACGTTGCACATTATCTTCCGGCCTACGGACACGTTTTATGTCCTTGTTTTCGTCTTTAGGACTTTTCGGCTACTCCTTGGCTAAAGCTCGTGTCGTCGTTGTTGTTGAGCGTGCTGACGTCAGAAATGTTGCAGCCGAAGCCAACATGCTAATGCCGCTGCTGTTGCGCGGTGCTGTCTCCGTGGGGACGTGTTTTCGCCGGCGGGACGTGTGGAGTCCTGGCTGGATCGGTGAAGCGCCTGTTGCTCTTGTGGCAGCCGATGATATTGACGTAGAGGTTCGCTCTCGAGTCCAGACCAGACGGCCCATTTGCTGATCAGTCAGAGGTAAAAGGGCGTCCACTCGCCCACGAGCGTAGAAAGCGGCTATCAACGCCTGCCCTTCATAAAAGGAGACTCAATCGCTCTCATCTCAAAGGAAACGTGTTTTTTCACCCCCATGCTGAGGTTCCATACCGGCCAGATGCGATAGTAAAAAAACGTCCACTCGCCAACGAGCCTGGGGGACTCATATGAATGTCTGCCCTTTATGAAAGGAGATTCAAACACACTCATTGTTCAAAGTCTGATTCAACATATTCTTTCCCCAAATGTTGATTGTGATGAAACTGCGCGCATTACAGCAATGAAAGAGGACAATACATTTTAGTGGCCTAGACCTTATTCATCGCTGCCGTTTGGGGAGACAGTTTGTGAGCAGCTTGTAGACACACTCCGGTGTCTCCAAATTTTTGAAGGGCCATTTAAGTTCAGTTTTCAACGCGTTCCCCGTCCTTACAGCGCAGTCTCCTCAGCGTAAAATTTGACCACTCATCTGAGGCTTTAACTCATTAACTCATACCATGAACCCTATTTGACGCCATGTAACCATGTAACTACCAATAAATATGTTTATCAATATAACTTTTAAATACGGCTCATGCACGGCCCATGTCACCGCAAGCATCTCGAGCTCCACGACAGCGTAGCGTGACTAGACCTCAGACAAGAATCTGGAGCCACATTGGATCAGCTTCCACTCCTGGCCGTGACGCTGCAGCAGCACTTAGCCCAGGCCTCAGAGTCGTGATGCGTCCGTGTGGACTGCGGTTGGCAGTGACGGGTCGAAGTAGGCCAGGACCGGAGGGGTGACGAGCGTTGCTTTGACGACTTCGAACGCTGCCTGGTGCACCGATGTCCATGTCTACTGGTTCCGGGGCCTCAGCAGGTCGCGTAGAGGCTTGGCT